TGCCATGTAAGAAAGATGGGGTGGATAAAGCAAAATCCATAAGCAGAAAATGAAAGTTCCAGTTTCACACCTGCAGGTTTGAAATAATATTTTTCTCTGCCAACTGCCCAAGGTTGTTCTGGAGGGGAAATGTTATAGTGCATACAAAACTTTGCAATGCAATCATTTCATCCACCCTACTTTAAAGGTTTTCATTGAACAGATATTTACTGAGATTCATTTTTGCCCAGTATTATACTAGTCTCTAGGTGTACATTGGTGGGAAAACCAGAGATTGTTCCTGATCTTATGAGTCTTCCTTGCTAACTAGTGGTCTAGCCACGTAAAACTACAGCATTACTATGTCATGTGTAAGCCTTATCCTAATCTGAAAATCATGTACATAACTATGAAATACATAACTCTGTTCAGGGGTTGTTCTTTGGGAGGTAAGATTGGAGACAAGCAGACCTGTGTATGTAAGCAGGCTCCATCACTTACTAGAATGACCTGGAAATTTTACTCAATTTATACAATGCTTTGGAGTCTTACTATGTGCAATTGAGATTGCTCATAATAATGATTGTTTAGAGTTACTAGAATATAATGAATTAAAGCTTATTAAGCACTCTATATATCAACTGGCACACATAGTGTCTTCTATAAATAACAACTTCAAATTTTTACTTGGTTGAAATACTCCAGTCACAAAAAGAGAAATATTATATGAGGTATTTAGCATAGTAACTAATCATAGAGACAGGGAGTATAAAGGTGGTTGCCAGTGGTAGGGGGCTGGAGGGAGTAATGTTTTGTTAAAGTTTAATGAGCAGAGTTTTAATTTTTCAAAATAAAAAGTTCCAGTTTCAGAAATGAGTTAGTAGTCACTGTTGTCCATTATGAAAGTATTTAATACTACTGACCTGTAGACTCAAAAATTATTAGGATAGTAAATGTTATGCATATTTTACCACAGTTATTAAAAAAATGAAAAAATACTGACTAGAAGATGCTCTCTTTTGAACACAATCACAGTCAGGTGGACTGTCTCCTCTCCCAGCTCTCTAGCTGAAGCTTGTCACTAAGGATTACTCTAAAGGATCGCTCAATAATTCACATGGCCAGAGGCAGACTCAGACACAGGCACAGAAACTATTTCAGCCTGTCTGATTTCAATTCATTCCCAGGCAGGACTCTAAGGATCTGACACCCCCCATAAATAACCCAAAGCTGCGAAGGTACATACATCCACTCCCAGATCCCCTGGCCAGCTCCATGGGGTGCTCCCCTGCAGCAGCCTGAAATTGAGTCCAATGGGTCAAATTCCACCTCCAGTGGAGAAGCCACTCCAGAGGAGTGACTGCTTCTCTTCTATGGGTGGAATGGCTAAGCTCCCACAGACCAATGGCCAGGACCAAAAAGAGAAAGCTACTGTCCTACCTTGGAGGCTGTCCTGAGCGCTGACAACCTGCCCGTGCTGCTGCTGAGGTCCCTCCTCTGGTGTAGCAGCCATTCACACCCCATCTCCGAGGGCCAATAAGAAAGCCACCAGGTTTGGTGAGGGGAGTCTGGAGGAAGTGAACCTGCCAGAGTGTCAGGGGCAGCAGCGTCTCATCAAGAGTGTCACACTCTGTCAGCTTGAAAGCCACTGAAGCAGGTCCTCCATTGATGTGCATTGTTCCTCCTTTAAACTGCATGGATCTAAGGGTGGAAAACACCACACCCACGGGAGCTTTTCATGAACTTATTCTCCAGTGTTTTGCCTCTCTCAGGGACACCCACTACCCAAAACCTGGAGGCTGGGATTTCCAGGTAATTTGCAGAGGTTCTGAATGAGAAGGGCACAGATGATAAAATGTTCTTTTCTCATAGGTGTATCCGGAATTCTTCTGGATTATAGCAATAATACTATTTTAAAGTACTCAGGGTGTGTACTAAATGACTAGGGATGCTGTAACAAAGTGCCACAAACAGGGCAGCTTCAAAACATGAGAAATTAGGGCTGGAGACGTGACATGGTGGTAGAGTGCTTGCCTAGCATGTGTGAAACCCTGGGTTGGATCCTCAGAACTGAGGGGGGGAAAAAAAACGAAAAGAACATCACATACTCAGAGAAATTTACTTTTTCACACCTTTGAGATAAGCAGTCTGAAATCAAGGTATGTGCAGAGTGGTTTCCTTCTAGGGCTATGAGGGAAAATCGGCTCTGTGGAGCTCTCCAAGCTTCTGTGGTTGCCAACAATGCTTGGGTTGGCTGCTTTATAATAGGGAAACACCAGTCTCTGCCTGGGTCTTCATGTGACCTTGTTTTCTAAGTGACTCCTGGATGTCTCCATGTTTCCAAGTTTCCCTTTCTTATAAGGACAATAGTTAATGGAGAGAGGGTCCATCATCACCTCTTAATTACATCTGCAAAGACCTGTTTCCAAATAAAGGCACATTCATATGGACTGAGAATTAGGACTGCAATCATCTTTTCGAGGGACCCATGGGAACCCACTCAGGGTAGGAGAGAGGACTAGCCAGAGGTCTGTTCCATCCTCAGAGCGGCCTCCTCAGGAAGGTTCCTGGTTTTCATCCAAAAAGCTCCTGGTGAAATTGATGCCAGAATTCAGGTTCATGGCTGTCTACCTCATAACCAGAGAAAGGCACAGGCAAATGCTATGGCAATTTTCATTATTTGTAGTACTTCTTTCTTAAAAAGATATCTTGAACATAGAGGTAGCAATTACTATTCTGCTGCTGCCGGGGGCGGGGGTGGGGGGAACAGGATTTTTCCTGTAATCTTCTGGTCACATTCTTTGTCAATTGATCAATGTACAGCTTTGTTTTGTGTATTTCTAGTTAAAGACACCTTACTTAATATATATTGTTGATTCTTTAACATTGAACTTATGGTAGACAACTCTGCAACCAGTACCTGAAAGAAGCTTACCTAATAGGTATCTTATCTCCATAAGAGACATAACATCTCATACTTATGAACACTAGAGAGCACCATGCGTGAATGTCATTTCATACAGTGAAATCGCCAGTAAAAATATTTTATTTAAAAATAATTTTAAAAAATCAGCACCAGACTGACCCCCAAATGATACTTGCTTAGCACATTAGAGCGGAGAGGAGCACTGCCTGAGTGGGTCCCATGGGTCCCTCGAAAAGATGTACTGCAGTTCTAATTCTCAGTCCATATGAATGCGCCTTTATTTGGAAACAGGGTTTTTGCAGATAGGTCTTTGCATTGACCTGAGCTGAGCTGGGAACGTGCTTATCAGGGAACTCATTTTTTTTTTTTTTTTTTTTTTTACTCTGAGGACATCTGGATGTGACCACAAAAGCACCATTACATTTATTTTAGAATCAGAAATAAATTATACGTAGTAGAAAAATTCACAAATATAGACTCTTTGAATAATGAGGATTGACAGATATTGCAGCCAGCCCCAGCAGGTTCCCGGCACAGGTGCTCCCATCTCAGCTGCAGATGCCATCCTGAATGGAGGCTGGCTGTCTGCCAGTGTGATAGTATTATCACATCTTGGTGGTGCCCAGAGTAGATCTATGCAAACCAAACAATAGGACACACATTCCCACAATACTGCAATGATAAATAACCTGTCAGTGATAAAATCTATACAAGGGAAGAGGATGGGGTTGGGAGGACTCTGAATTTGATGACTCCACATATAAGTGTAAAAATTACAGAGTTGCTTGAAATCAACCAGAGTTATTTCTTTCTGTCATCAGGTAAAAGGGAGACATGAGTGAGAGGTTGAGTCACAGAAAAATAGTTAAAACATGTTGTCAATCATTCTGGGGACTGTGAAACATACACAATACACAACAAATATTTATTGAATGCCTTTTATAAAGCAGGGAATATGCAGAATACTAAGGATATGAGAGTGAATAATATATATATAGGCACCAGAAAATCTGTGATGTATCTATGGGGACAAAATGGGTAGAGGGAACTAAAGTGAGTTAGAAGAAAGAAAAATTTAATGGGACTGCAGTGCCGCAGCCCTGCTGGCTGGGCAAAATAACTGGGGGGTGACGATCAACTTGTGTACATTGATACAGCAGGAGTGGGAGCCATTTATCGTAGGACAGGAGGGGTGTATATACATTCCACACAGCTTATCTTAATTAACATAAACTAGATACAGCAGTCAACCAATAAGGAATCACCACACTTAATGGCTCGCTGGCACCACCTCACAAACCACTCCCCCTGGCAAAATGCCAGGCGCCATCTTGACTTGTTTACAGACCCTAACACTGCAGAATAGGTTTGAGGAGGGGAACAGTTCAAAATAGGCCATGAGAGGCATAAAATTTAAAAGAAAGGGCTGGGGAGATAGCATAGTTGGTAGAGTGCTTGTCTTGCATGCATAAGGCTGGGGGTTCAACCTCTAGCACCCAAAACAAAAAACAAACAAAAAAGAAAAGAATGCTAACAACCTTAAGAAGTTTGGCATTAGAAGTGTTTACTTTAAAATGTAGTTTAGGTATCAGAAAGATCAGTAGAACAGAGGGAAGGATGAGGGGGAGGGAAATGGGAAGTAGTAGGGACCGTATTAGAAAAATTATATTCCATACTTTTATAATTATATCACAATAAATCCTAATGTTATGTATATCTAATAAGAACCAATAATAAGAAAAAAAGAACAGGTTAACTATAAAGCAAAAAAAAAATGGAAATGTAGGATCAATGTCAAATGCCTCTACAACAGGAAAAGAATAATTGTAAAAATTGTAGAATAGCAATTCTTTTGTGAACACCCAAGTCCCCCACAGATCCATGAGATCAACACTGTTCATAACAATGATAAGATATGACTTGCTTTTGTCGTGCGTTGACATGTGTAGTGATGAGATAAAAGCATTGGTGGGTAGAACTGCTGGTTCCTTTGTATAAATCAAGAGAGGAACACCACACTGTACTAGTTGGTAACCACGGCATCCTTCACCGTTGTGCACTTTCACTAGAAACAAACAATGTCACCAGAGAATATTCTTGTTGGAGCAGTATAAGGGAACCAAACCTCAGTCTTGATGTCATGTCTTTTTAGTATTTCACACGATGAAAGGATGAAGTGGGGAGTGTACAAAAGGCTCCAGGCCTTTCTGCAGCTCACCTGAAGTAGGAAGACTGTCTCCAAGGAAAAGACGGGTGAGCATTTCAGCTGCAAGCTGAGCTAACTAATTTATGCATTTTTTCATGAAATGTAAATTCTGGTAATTTAGAAATTTGGCATACAGATATTTTCTTTAGAATAATGAAGTAAACCCAATCCTTCAAAGAAAGCAAATGACAACATTTATGGTTAAAGATGAAATTTGAACAGAAAAATGAGAGTTTTGAAAACTGGCTGCAGCCACAGATTTGATAGCTTCCTACCACATAAAGACTTTTGAGGATATTACTGGTGCCATTAACTAATGTGATTTTTATACTATATAATGAGATGTGGTGACATTTAGATATTCAAAACTCAGGGAATCAATATTTTCCAGATGACCATTGTATATTGTCATAAAATCATTCATTGATAAAAGATTCATTCAAAATATAAGATAACTAATGTTTTTAGTGTAAAAGCATTTAAAAAGTATACAGATTCAATACCACAACTGACCTTTGAGAAACCACTCTTTGTTGAATTTTGGTATAGTATCAAAGAAAAATATCAATAATTATCTGTTAAGGTTATTAAAATATGCAAACTTTTCCAAACTATATATCTTATTAGTTCAAATTTTCTTCACACAGTTCATTCAATACATCATATTGTAACAGGCTGAATACAGACAAAAATATGACATTCTAGTTTTCTTCTTTCTTTTAAACCAAGCATTAAAGAGATACTTAAAATGCAAATAAACATCCCTGTCCTCACTTTTTTGTTTTGGAAAACATTGTTTTTAAAATATAATAATGTACAAAAATGTTATTTATATTCTCATGTAATTACTTTCCTGGTAAATACTATTATTTAATGTGAAATAAAAATAATATTTTAAAATTTTATCAGTTTTAAAATTTACTATTTTTTCCAGGACTTATATCTATAGGTCTTTGGGATCCTCAATAACTGGGAATCCCCAGGCAAATATGTTTAAGAACCACATATATAAGGGAAAGAACACGGACTCTTAAAGTCAAGGGCCTGAACCCACTTCTTCTAACTAACTAGTAGACAGACCCAAGATAAGTCACTGAACTTTTCACATCAGGTTCTTCATCTGCAAAATGAGGGTAAAAACTATCATAAATGCTCACAGGGTCACTACTAGAAGAGAAAGTGTGCCCATAGAGGTAGAGGTACTTTTTACTCTTCAAATCACTGAACAAAGGTTATTTACTTATCATTATCTATGACGATGAGAATTTGTGCTAAAATTTAATGAATCATATCAATAATAATTACCTTCCTGTGATAAAGTTGAAAGCATACTAAGGATCAACCACATCACGATGCCAAATGTTTTTATCTCATCCCAAACACAGGCTTGTTTATTTGGTTTTCATTATGTTTTCAAAGTCTTTAGAAACCGCAGAAATTCTGGAGATAGATAAAGCTAATTTGGGAAATGAGTTTTTGAATATCTATTTGGATGGACATGTGGGTATTTCAGCAAAACTCAGGAAAAGATTCACAATGTTTAGAAAGTATGTGGCTACATAGACTATCTAGGAGATGCAAACTGAGAGATCCTCCAATTGCTCATTTCTCACTACTTGGCGCAAATGTTAGCATCAGAAGCAACATTCAGCAGCTTTATACAATGCCTTATCTAAAGCAAGACTCTCTTCTAATACCTCAGATATGTGATCCTAACTCTATTTAATATTTCTAGTAGTTGGACACATAAAGCCTCACAAGGCAGTTCATTTTGTGTGGTAGGCTTTTTTTTTTTCATTATACACATCTAATAATACAAAAAAGGAATGATTTATTTGCTTTTTCAGTAAGTTTCCAGGTCCTGCTACTGCTGATCAAGGAGTGCACTTTGAGGACCTCTGGTCCAGGCATCTGACTGCAATTCCTCACAAAGCTTGTTGGAGAACATGTTCTGAGTTCCATGTGATTAACTTGCAACAGTGCTCATTCATGTATTGAAGCTAACTGTGTAGTGAACTATGAGTAACGTTTTGTTAATAGGAGAGCAGTGGTGTGAATAATCCACTACTGTGGATAATCCAAAAGCCATTTCAGTTTGGTTTTGGAAAGTGTTCAAGTTGGATTTTAATTTTGCAGTAGTGCTGGATTTGCCTTCATAAATAGGTTTTGCTGAGGCCAATGTTAAAACTGAGTTGACTGTTTCCTGGGTAAACACATGCTTTCCACAGTGAGTGAGGGAAACAAGAAGGCTAGCATGCTGGTTGTGGAGACCAACCCAGCCTTCATAATTCACAAAGCAGGTTGCCTCCCAAAAGGAAAGTAAAAGTTGAGTAAGGGTAGAACACTTCAAAAGCTGTAGTTCCTAAAAATATGCATGGAAGTTGGAAAAACTCACCAGTTTTTTTTCCTATACATTGCCATACTAATTAAACTCACGTAGCCTAATGGCATTCCCTGTATCCTCTGCCTAATGCAAAAACAAACAAACAAATTACAAAAAATATAAATAAAACAAAACAAAAAACAATCAAACAAGAACAAAAAATACAAAGAAAAGAAAAACCTATGTGTGAGCAGTGTGTGTGTGTGTATCTGTGTGCCTGAGAATGTGAATGTATTTAAGTACATTCTTATGATTTCAGCTTTATAAAGGTCATAAGAAAACTGCTACCCCAAAGATCATCAATCCTGTTGTTATGACACTTGTGGTTACATGTCATTATAGTCTATAAAATCATTTTTCAAATGTCGGTTTGTGAATGGTTTGTATAAAAATAAACTGGGAACTGAGAAACAGATTCCTCCCCTGCTACCCCGTGGCTGAGACTGTGTTAGTAGGTGTCTTTATCTGCCCCTCTTCTGACAGCCTAGTTCTTTCTCTTCCATTTCAGTGATTCATCTTTAACACAGAAAGAATCAGTTAAAGCTACACCAACATGTGGACATTTTGAACAGAATTTATTGGAAATAAAACCTTGACTACACAGAGATGTAGCATAATCCTCAGAAATGGGAAAATACTAATATTAGTGTTATGGTTTGGATGTGAGGTGTCCTCCAAAAGCTCATGTGTGAGATAATGCAAGAAGGTTTGAAGGAGAAATGATTTGGTTATAGGCTTAATCTAACCAGTGAATTGATCCCTGATGGGATTAACTGGGTGGTGGCTGGAGGCAGGTGGGAGTTTGGCTAGAGGAAGTAATTCATTGGGGGCATGGCTAGGGGGTGTATATTTTGAATCTAGAGAATGGAGTCTTTCTCTCTGCCCTCTGATCATCATGTGAACTGTTTCCCTCTGCTCCATGGCTCTGCCATGATGTCCTGCTTCACCTTGAGCCCCAAGGAAGGCAGCTGGCTTTTTATGGACTAAAGACCTCCAAAACTGTTAGCCCCTCTATAAACCTTTCCTCCTTTATAGTTGTTCTGGTATGTTCCTCTGGTTGCAGCAGTGAAAAAGCTGACTACAACAATTACCTACCAATTTCTGAGTCCTTATTGTAGGTCATATACTGTACTCAATGTCACATAGCCTCAAAAACCCCTATAATGTAGACTCCTTTCTTAGCCTAATTTAATAGGTGAGAAGACTGTAGCCCAAGTTACACTGCTGGGGAATGGCTGAGGTTGATTTAGAAACCTCCTTTGCCAGACTCAAAACCTATTCTATTTACCACTGTGCAATATCCCTGCCCAAGTGGACTATAAATTATGGTATATTTATTTTTAAAAATGCCTCCTTATAAATTAACTTGTATACTAAACACCTCTTACACGCTGCTTTAGATTTTCTTGGTCTCATCTGGCTATTGTCCCAGCCCCAGTTACCTGACCACCTGGACCCAGCTTCCCAACAGCATCACATCTTGACTGTGCACTGTGTGCTGCTTACCTGTGTTCTGGGGTCTCTTCCTTGGTTGCTGAAGTGATAGATGCTGCTGAGAAGTGTGAAGGAATTAGTCCTCCACAGCAGTGAAAGTTGGACCAATGGTAATCTACGGGGATCAGATAAATGCTTTTTTTGTCCCTTTGAATAAACTGCTCTGAGCAGCTGTCTAGAAACTTCTCTAAAGACAGCCCTTTGTGTTGGAGCTCTCTGTTCCAATTGATACAAAGAGGTTGGTAACTAGATACCATGTTTATATTAGATCAGTAATTCTCATTCCTTCCTTGCTTTATACTCCTTCTCCTTCAATAATGCTCCTCAGAACTGCATCCCCTCAAAAAATAATACTCTAAAAGTCCTTGTTCAGGTTCTCCCCGACCCCTTGGAAAGTCAGGCTAAGTCAATTAGGAATTTCCTAGTATTTCAGTGTATGCAAGGCAGTTTTGCTTTTAGCCCTGTTGGAGAGATGGGACAGAAGAAGCACAGTGGGGAAAAATGGAAAAAAAATGAATTATTGGACTGCAGTTTGCCTCTTTCAAAGCTATTTCTGAAAAAAAAAAAGGATTTCTCTGCTTTAAGCCATTCAACAAAAATATTGCCACAGCTTTGTAAGCAAGGAGGGACACAATTGCAAATAGGCAAATAATGAATGCCTTGTTTTTCTTTTGTTACAGAGAGGTTCCTACTCATTGCCTCTAGTCCTGCATAAAAATCTAATATTTTGGCAATGCCTTGTTAAAGGCCCTCCCAGTGAAAGGAAAGAGATGAGCCTCCTGAAACAAACATCAGCAACTAAAATTACCCTTTTAAGATGAGATTGAAAAATATGGCTATTTCCCCCAAATTAAGCAATCTGTAGAAAGTATGGCTAAGAGCCAGAGCTAGAAATGAGCAGGTGTGCCTCAGGAGACAATTCTCAGCACCTTCCCTAGGTGAACAACTGTAACATGTGTTTCCTATCTCCTCTGTACTAGGAAAACCTGTCCAATGGACCCAGAAAAAGAAAAAAAAAAGATAAAGGAAAGGAAAATAGTTATTTTAGAAATCCTTAGAAAGCATGTACTGATAGGCTCAATAAAATGTGGAGCTGAAACATGTTTCTAAATAACCAAGTTCCAAATATATTGGCCTGGCATGACTTTTCAGATATGAAAGTGTTGGATAATTGTGTTCTTTATTGCGTGTTTCCTTACTTAATGCATTTTGATAGGATATGTAAATTCACCAGAGTTTCTCATAACCAGAATGACCCAAGTTCTGAGCAATAGATCAGATAAGTGAATAGTTACCAAGTGGTCTGGTCAGGAATAGAATAATAATGTAACTGTGTGTATGTGTGTGTTTTAAATTCAATACATATTTTCTGAATAAAGGATTTAAAAATGGATAGTAGGCTATTATGATACTATGATTCAGAAAATATGTAGTAAGTTTGGGTAACATGGTATGTTCTATGTTAGGATTACTTTATAATAATAAACACACATAAATCATGATCCCAGAATTAAATAAAGTCAATGAATTAACACACATAAAATATAATCCCAGTAGTCAATGAACTCATAGGCTAACAGAATATTATGGTTATTAGTACTGCTATGAGATTGCTTGGTACATTTATTGAGTACTTACAATGGTATTATATTTCTTTGTCTATATTTTCTTACTCCTCTCATTTTACAATAAAGAAACAAAGAGGTTAAATGACCCAATTCTGTTTGCCCAGTTAATGGGGGAACTACTACTTAAACTTTTGTTCCTTTTGATCTCAAGTTTAGAGCTTTTTCTCCCACCTAGTATGGTCCCCTGTAGTCTGGGGTTCCTTATTCCACTTTTATAATCAGTACCTTTGACATCAAGTAGCTCTGGAGCTTGATCTTCCCTTCACTAAAGATTGTGGGAGATGTTGTCATGGAAATCTGCAAGGTGTCAGTCATGATAGACTAAGCATCTACCCTCCTCCTTTGCAAGTGTACATTTAACATGCTCCAACCCCTATGACTACAGCTGATTAATCCATAGGTATGCAACTAACTCAAGATACAATGACCACCTCCATTCCCTGAAACTTGTGCACTTGGGACCACAGACAGAGTCTGGGACTTTTCTTTCTGGAGACTGAAGCCATATTGATTCAAAACTCAAAAGCTGCTGGTTCCAGTCTACAACAACAGAGAATGAATCTAACCCCTTTAGAAAGAAGCAGTTTTGGGAGTCAGAGGAGAGACGTTGGCTGTCCTTGAGTTCCTGGGTCCATTTGTCCCTGAAGAGTAGTTGTTTCTCTGTCTTTTGTGCTTATTCAACCTTTCGTTTAATCATATGAGTTAACAAATTCCCCTCTTGGACCAAGTTTAATTCAAGTTTTGTGTCTCTTATGAATAACAAAAGATGTCTCATCCAATGAGACATTTGAGATCCAATGAGAAAAAAAGATTTAAAAATCCACTTAAAAATCTCCAAATTAATTATGAAAGTCCATGATTATTATATTAGGTCCCACCTTTGTGAACGAATTAGACCCTCACTTACTGTCTGACTCACCCAGTCTCAGCCCCTCTAGTCCTTCAGAGCCCACATGCTTTGTCTGTGCGTGTGTGTGTGTGCGCGTTCACCTGTGCGTGCGTGGTACCATCAGGCAACCAGAGGATAGCACTCCCTGCTCCTATGCTACCTTGCACATAGTGCCATTTTAGAGCCATAATTTTCCACTCTGTGATGACAGGATATGTATCAACTGTTGCCATCCCTGCCCGGTTACTTCCTAGGGGACTCAAATGTAAACTTTGGAGCATAGAGATCTGTATCCTATACTTGTGGAATGACAAAGGCCTGCACAGTAGAGTTCTGAGGCTGGAGGGTGGAAATGGGATTACCTTTTGTTGGGTCTCCTGGATGTGAACCTGAGATAAGGGGTTTTGGGTGCATATTTTATGGAGGAAATACTTTAGTAGATGTAGTTATAAATCCTTGAGCATCTTCTATAGCCTCGGCAAAGAGTAGGATGGGTGGGTAGAATCAGCTCTATCTTCAAACAAAGGAAAGGGAGACACTTGCGCAGGCCCAGAGGGACCAGTGGAATCCAAAGTTTAAAGTCGCTCAAATACAACTACTCCAGATATCCTCATCCCAATCTCAGGGCCACACTCCTTCTCCATTAGGCCCTGCCATGGCAAAGGTAAATTGCCTAGGCTGAAAGTTTCAGCTTTCACTGAAGTTTTGCTAACATTCCAGTTATGTCCCTTTTATGGTCTTCAGTTCCTCTATCCTACTGCTGTGGGTGATGTGGGTCTCTCTGCTGCCAAGGAGGACCTTTGATCCTCCAGTTTTATTTTAAGCTGGTTATCCATGTCTGAGTTTGACATTTTCTCTCTTCAAAGCATCAATGACAGTCATAAATAATTAGCAATAATTTTCATGCTATTAATGTTTTCCTACATCTTTCAAATTCTACAGGTGTTGCACTAGTCAGTGAGCTCCTTCCCCCTGTGTCCTGTGCTGAGTCACCCTGGATGCACTGCTCACCAGGTGCACTGCAACCTCAAATGGAGCCTGCTGCTGCTCCACCTGCTTCAGTGACATCATCCTCACTACCAACTGACTGGTGGGTTATCCAACTGCAAAACTACATGCTATGGAGATGCTTCCCAGGACTACTTGTGGTACCAACTCTTGTTGATACAGGTACTCACCTGTAAAACTCAGGATTCCTAGTGGCAAAAACAAAGATAAGAACCCAGGTCTCCAGGGAATACTCTCTTGGTTGCCTTTTTTTTCCAGCATCCCATGATTCTGTGCTGGTGCTTCTCTCTGTATATCTACTTGACTGCACCCATCCATAATCCTCCCTACTCCCTCTTCTTCCTTTCTCTCACTTTGAAGGCAAATTTCTGAAATTCTCAAGTACACAGAGCCTAGAATAACAGTCTAAAACCAGCTTAAACCTCTTCTCTTCCAATAGGAAGAAGTCTTTTCTGTATCTCTAATTTCTAATTATAAACTCTAGATTGAGAAAAATAATCCAATTGACCTAGCTACTTAGGAATCAGTCAGCCCTGACCGTGAAGTTGAGAGGGTGATATGGCTAGTAAAGACACAAGCTGGGCTTGTTCTTGTGGATAGGTGGAACTTGGAGAAGAGAACCAAAGGTTAGGGCACTCACTTAACTTTCCTATTAAAGTGTCCTTCTCTAGCAATACTCCAGCCCAAAGACTGACATGAACGTTAGAGTAGCTTACACAGAATGAAGTGCGCCAGAAATTCTTTAGCAAAATGTCTCTCTGGAGACAGTGCTGTCTTGAGTAAAGACTCGTTGAATGCAAGCTCCCTGAAGGCAGAAACTTTGTTCAATAATGTATTCCTAGCACTGACATAATTAGCTAGGTCACAGTTGTCAGTAAGTTTCTCAGATGAGTGAATAAATGCCGAATGACATAAAGATCTGTTTTACAATCCTCAGTGCACACATTGAATTCTGACTCGGTTTTTTTTTTTCTCACCTGTAAAACAGGGCTAATAACGGTACTTATTTTATGAGGTTCCTGTGTGGGTTCTGTTAATATGGACTCTAGCATAAGGACCACAGTTGCAAGTACATAGTAACTACTTATTAAATGATAGCTAGCATGAACAGAGAGTCAGGATACAAGAATGCCTTCTACAATGAAGTAAAGCTATAGAATGTAGGGTACATTACATTTCCCTAGAGGGAGATGTGTTTTCCTTTTTAGGTGTGTTTAGATAATAAGATGGATAAGTAATTGGAGCAGAATCAAAGGCACTCATCCCTGACAAAGTGATCCCTCCAATTGGTCAGAGAAAATTAACTAAAAATAACAGCAGCTCCAAACAACAGTAAAACTGTTTGCGTTAAGTCTCTTCTGAGGGTTCTGCCTCTGCCTCCGGGCAACCAGTGGTCTTTGTCTGGCGTCCTCCACAAAAACTGTGAGATGTGCCTGTGGGAGTGAAGAGAAAAGCGGGTGTACTACACATGCTGCCTATACTATGTAAGCAAGCAGCTTTCTGTGTACAGTTCAGAGAGCCTAATTTTGAGCTAATCGTTGGTAGAATGAAGAACATGTCTCTCTTCAACCTGCCTTTTTTTTTTTTTTCTTTTTCTCTCTGCCCCTTGAAACAGCACAGATGGGGAATAGAAAAGCAGACGATTCAAACTGGTACATTACGTGGGCACAAACAAGTTAGGGAAAAACATCTTTACATGGTGAGAAAAATTCCACTCCTTTCTTGGACAATTTCTGAACTATTGGAAACCATGGCAACTAATATAAATGTAGCCAGTGCATTGTACATTCTCAGGCTGAACAATAAAAAACAAACTTAATCTGTTAAAAAAAAGTTAAAAATAAACATAACTTGGACAACAGACTTCAACAAGCTTCTTATTCCCTCTGATGAAAACTTATGAAGAGTGGGCATTTTGAAAGAAAAAGAGCTATTTATGCTTGACTTTTCAATCTAAAAATTACATGTCCTTATATAATATATATGTAATAATGCACAAATTATTATATATGTTTATATAATAATATGTGTATATATAATTATGTGTATATATAATAATGCATACATGATATATATGCAGATAGTATGTGTATGTGTGCATATATATTATATATAAAAAAGTTATCTAAATTATATATATATATATAAAATATGCTCATGCACAACACCAGGGTTAAGAATATTCCTAAATCATAGCATTGTTGAATAATAATTATTACACATTAGTAAATGTAATATATAATTACATTAAAAAGGATATATACTATGTAATTAATATTACTCATCAATATCATGTATTGGAAAAAAAATTGACAATGAGAACATAGGAATTAACAAATATGGTTCCTGGACTCTTAAGGCATACAGACTAGTGAGAGGAAATATTCATTAGTTACATAATCAAAAGAACAAATACATAATTACAAACAACATTCAGGGAAGAGAAAACACATGGTAACATAAGCTTCCCATGTGATCTAATTTAAGTGGGGGGTGTTAGAAAATTTGTTTAGAAAATTAAGGTACTAATTTTTGGAAGTATGAAAAGAAAACACTGTACATTGTTTTGGACACAGTTGTAATCATCTCATGATGCAGAAGAAAAGATATTTAATTAGTAAAAGAGTAAAGAGAGACTGGCCCCTGGCTGACTCTCATTAGAGAAAGCTAACAGAGGGATCAATTATTTTCATTAGAGGAAAGAAAAAAGTTGTTAGGTCTGTGTTGCAGCATGGAAAATTCTACCTAAATGCTTGAAAAACATCATCAGAATCATTTGGTGATGGAACAGTTAATGATGGAATCAACTTCTCTAGGGAAGCCAGAGGTGGTGGAAGGAGCAAAAATTACTTAAAGAATTTAATCTTTCAAAGATCATGAAAAGACCATTTCCGTGCCCTCAGGGATCATGTAAGTCATGTCATAAAATTTTATGTTTCATTATATTAGATGGGCCCATCTGCCAATTAAAATGCCCTGCCATCTTGCTTTTATCTATATCTTGGTTTTGGACCTCAAAGATCAGTAGGTAGTTTAGTCAAAATTCCTCTCTTACTAGGAGGTATTATTAAATATATTTTTCTAAACAGTAAATGAAACAAGGATTTCTCTTGGGTCTTTCAACAGAGTTGTTGATTGGCCCATGAATAGAGTTCATATATTTGGACTCTGACTTTTGGGTATTCACGAGGACTATGTTTCTTGCCCTACATTGGGAACTGAAAACTTAATGCTGGTTTGAGAAATAAAATAAAAACAGCAAGTAAACCATACACTTGAGAAATTATCTTCAAATTATGTTGAGTTTTTCACATCCTGAAACAGCCTGTTTCCTACCTTTAACAAGTTGAAGTTTGCTGTGCTCAGCATAATTGGACACAGCTGCCTGCATTTTCTGCCGGGGTGTGAGAGAAAATGGAGTTATTATTAGCGCTTGGTAAAGCAACCTGCCTGGTCAATGTAAATCTTAAGATTCAAGTGTTTATTGGTTGTGAATTTTCCATTGTACAGGCACCTAGGAAATCTCATCACTAATAGGAATCTGGAGGAGGAGGCTGAAAAGCACCGAGTATCCAATCAGAAAATTAATTGGTTGACCCATCCATAAAGTCAGAGTCAACAATAGAGACATCAGACCACACAAAATTGGGCTATCCTCAAAATGGATAACTGCAGGCAGCAATTTCTAGGGCTTACAAGGGAAGTTGGCAATGCTTTAAGTTAGAGGCCTTTAGAAAAGTATTGCTTTCATGGAGGAATAGGTCTGAAATCAGTCTTGGCTTGAAATGCCCCAGAAGCACACTCTGAGACAATGATTCAAGTACAAGTAACTTCTTTGGGGAACGCAGCAAACACTAGGGAAGAGAATAGTGGGAATGGAAAGCAGTCCATAAAGGCAACATCATTAAGCCAGCTACCACAATGAGCAAATTGAGGTTGACCTCACGGGAAAGCTGGGACACTTCACTAAAGGTGACTCATAATGAACCCACCCAAAGGGCAAGGGAGCGAGGGTATTTATATACCAACTCCTGAGCCTTCTCCTAGGAGTGTTAATTCCTTGGCATTTCTGGCCTGCCATGTATGGAGGGGCCATTTTTAGTTTTGGGAAAGCCCTCAGGTAAAAAGATAGGTGGATACTGGCAATGGAAGTGAAGTAGAACACACTAGAAGGCTGGAAAAATAGAATTGGTGGACAATTGAGCAGAATGCCTCAAACACTCTTCTAACTGTGAAGATGTGCAGTCAAAAATCTCAGCTCCACTAGATTGGTAGTAACTTTAGGACCACTATGTTGATGGAATTCTAAGGAAGATGGAGAAGGATTCTTCTTTTAAATCATTAAAGATATCTTCTGTGGGCAGGATAGGGTAGAAGTCAGCATATACGCCATGCATTTGTTACCCTTCATCTAGATTAGGAATTGGCCGATTCTCTATAAAGGGTCAGATAGTCAATATTGTAGGCATTGCAGCTTACCTTTCACCCTGTTATACACTCTTATTTGTTTTCTGTTTTACAAGTCACATAAAAAAATGGGAAACGTATCTCAGCTTGCAGGGCATACAAAAAACAGGCTGATGGCTGGTTTGTACTATTGGTCAGTTTTCTAACCTCTGATCTATAAATTAATATTTCCCTGGCCTTTTCTTGTACGAGTACTTCTTTTTATTGTCAAAAAATGTCTTTAAAGCGCGAGATTTCTACAAAATAGCCTGTGAGTTTTACATATTTTTCTTTAAAATTATATTCGAAACATGAATGTTTAGATCTTGGGAACCGCAGTTGTTCCTCCACTGTGCCAGTGAGGCACTCTGCACCCAGGCCAAAGTCCACTGACCTGGCTCACATGCCTGCATTTACAGTAGAGGAGACTGAGACCTAGTTCTTTACAGAAGAAAAAAAGGACTCGTCTAAGCTTAAATGCTTAGCAGTTCATCAACCAAATAATGTTCAGTGGGAGACAAGGTCCTTATCAACCCAGAACACCATGAAGCTATGTAAAAAAATCTAATTTCATATTCCATATGGTGCAAATTTGAGCCATCTAGGTCTAGAGGAAAAATACAATTGGGTTTAAATAATAAGGGAAGGGCTCATGAATAAAGACTTTCCCAGGAAAGGGAAAAATAGTCATGTTTCATATTCATTCGAGAAGTATGAATTGAGTTCCAAAACCGTATCAAGGAATATATAAACAACACAAAGCTCCAGGATACAGGTACTATGAAAAATAAGAGTCACATAAATGGAAATGAATGTAGTGTGTTTCTGGCTCAGGTCTTATTTATTGAATAAAAATATCTTTTTTTTTTTTTTTTTTTTTTTTTTGCTTCTGGACAACTGTTGGTACCAGACAAGAAGTGAAGACAGTGAAAGAGCAACACAAAAGATATCTATGAGGAAGCAGTGGAAAACAGCACTGAGGAGCTGTGTGGGAAGCAGATAGAAAAAAAAATAAGCTACTTAAGACTTTGATATTTGGTGGCAAAGATGTTAAGGTTGCCCAGGCAGGATGCACACACTGTAATCTCAGCTACTTGGGAGGCTGAGGCAAGAGGATTGTAGGTTCAAGGCAGATCTCAGCAAATTAGTGAGATCCTGTCTCAGAAGTAAAAAGGATTGGGGATGCTGGGATGTAGCTCACTGGTAAGGCACCCCTGGGTTCAATGCCCAGAATTTGGGGAGAGGGTGAAAAGGAGGGATGGGACGGAGGGTGAGAAAGAAAGGGAGAGGGAAAGGAAGAAGGGAGGGAAAAAGGAAAGAGAGAAAAGATGTTATAGCTGCACTAAATCTCATTGAAGTCTTAATTACTGGAAGATATTGGTAAACACTTTTACTTTGACAATTGGCTTAGAAAAATGAGACAAAACCTACATGCAGGCAAAGTTAAGCTCTTCACTGGCAGTAGTTTTCTGCTCTGTAAGTAGCAAAAATATTAGTTTCTACCTTATGAAGATAGATTTATGAGGATAGATTTAAATATATAGCACAATATCTGTCATATCATAGGCTCAAATATATCTAAAAGAACAAATCAAGTCACATAAATTAAGCATTTAGAAATATCAATTTATAATAGCTAACATTATGATGTATATGTATATCATGTATCTATGACAGATACATTACATATAATTATGTTATATATAGTTATATTCTTTTTTTTTGTACTGCTGGGTATTGAACCCAGGGCTTTGTACATGCAAGGCAAGCAAGCACTCTATCAACTGAGCTATATCCCCAGCACATAGCTATATTCTATATAGGCACTATATAGCAAACTACGTTTTGTATGTATGTATGTATATTTATTTGTATAGTATATTTTGTATTTAAGAAGGAAAAATTGAACAGTATTCCTAGTGATAAATATGGAGAAAAAAAGGCAAAACGTGAAGTAGTGGAAAATAGATGCATCTACTATTGCTTGCAAAGCACAAAATCAATCATTTATATATCACAAACCCAGGAAAGGTAAATTCCTATTTCCATTTTACAGAAGCATGATCTGAAACCTTTCCCCACAGATTCCATGGAAAATGGGGTCAGACTACTTTGTTTGCTATCATATTATCAACATCTAGCTGGAAGAATACTTTGCATATGAACCTCAGTTAACGATTTTTCAATACATAAAGTGTTTAAACAGCAATTTTGGTTCAGAGAAAACATTACAATTGCAATTACTCATATGCATTAACAATAGGGTCCTTTCTTACTTTTTATGCTTCCATATTTTACAAATTTGTTAAGAACGGGTTCTTAGCATCTGGAGGAGCAAACTGATGTTCCTAGTCTATGACATGTATCCTGGCTCAGGAAGAGCCTCAAATAATGTTAATCATTCTTTATTTTCTGTGTATTTGGCCAGTCCTTGGCAAATATAGGAATAAAAAAGGATTACATTGGTCAAGAAAACCAACCCAAACATCCAGTGATGTGGAGAATAATATCTCAGTACAGCAGCAGTACCTGGTTGCCAAATAATTAGGGGGGGGGCAGGTAGGGAATTACATGGTTGCCAAGATTTGTTGGGCAAGAAGCCAAGAACAAATACACAACACACTGAGCTCAGCAGAATACTAATGAGAGATTCTATAATCCTGTGGATTTCCTTAAAGCAAAGAGCCGTCCAAGGGGCCAAACCCTTTAAGCATTTCAGTCAGCTAATGCACAGCACCCACAGGTGTGAGATGTGACATACATGTGATTTTTAAACCAAACAACATTGGAGTATTATTCTATATATTTAGAAAGCAAGTGGCCTCAGGAAATGGGTTTATTAAACTATAATTAAATCCCATTATTCTAGTTATTTTTGGACATAAATCAACAACATTTGTTATGCTCACAGACTGTGAATCAAAAGACAGACAAGGCACAGTAGAGATATCTGGGTCCTCATCTGGGAACACTAGCATGGCACTCCACTAGGACACCTGAGATAGGCATTTTTTGGAGGATTGAGTCTTCATCTACATGTCTAACAGCAGGGCTGAAATACTTGAACTGCAACAACTTAAACACTCCCATCAGCTGGGACTGTCAACCAGGACTGCTTACATGTGGCCTCTCCAGATGGCTTGGGTTTTCTCACAGCATGGCATCCTCAAGTTATTTGGACTTCCCTCATGGCAGTCCAGGGCTCTATGAGCAGATTGTCCATAAGGCAGGGAAGCATGGCCTTTTATGCCTAAGTTTTGGAAGTCACATGTATCAATTTCACCATCCTCCCCAGATTCAACTGAAGGTTATATCCCACACTTTTCCATGAGGGACTGTTGGTATCTTGTGGCCATGTTTCCAAATGACCACGCCCATTGATATCTGATATAAAATGGACTCTGATTCTAGTACAGCAAAGTGGCTGAATGACTGTTGGGTCAGTGTCACTTCTACCACTTACTGGCTCTGTAGACAGGAATGGTCATCACCAGACTAACTCATAGGGCATTGCATGAATTACTGCAAAAATTATTAAGGCAGTAACCAAGACAAGGAAGCCCAGTAAATTTAGCTACTATTGGCTAGTGATTTGTTTGTTAAAATATCAACATAGTGGACAGCTTACTCTGTGCCAGTGATCGTGACAGTTTCCAGGACTGCAAGGATGAATAACACATAGATGAGATCCCTGATGCTGAGACCTGATAATCAAATTAGGAGATTCCTTAAAATTACAAGAATATGCAATATGCATCTATCAAAGGTTGAATAAGGAGGGAAATGAAAGAGGAGTCAGAAGTTTCAGTATCAGAATCCAACACTTTCTGGTTGTGTTTTGCCTTCTGAATCCACTCAGCCTTTTCAAACTTTATTTTTCTCACCTATGAAGGAGAACAGTGCAGCATTTCAAAGTTAGTGTGAAGATTAGTGGAATAGTGCTTATTAGAGACTCTAAAACTCAACCACGTGTGTACCTGGGAGCCACCATCCTTGCCTAGGCTTCCCACTGAGCCTATCTGTGGGGACTTGATTACCTGAAACCCAGTTATTTGAAGAGCTCCTGAGAATCTGTTTCAGTTCAGTAGTTCAGGTCTCCTTGTTCATACTGTTTCAAAGTACTTTTTAGCCAAATATTGACAAACTTTTTCTTCTGCCATGCACCAAGCAGATAATTTGGTGGGCAGCAGGGGTGTTAGAAGGAATTACACAAATCACTTGAGAAACCACAATACTTGTGATCAGTATTAAGAAAGAGGTAAATGCCAGAATGTGGTACACTGGGAGTGATTACAAATAAAAATATTTAGATTTATATCTTTATACTGTTTAAATACTTACAACATCACTAACCTGGAGTGGAAAGAGATGATAGTTGAAAGAAATATACTGTCACCATGCAAAGTAGGTATTTTGTGTTATGAAACATCTATGTAATATGTAAATATGAATAGAGCCTTCAGAATGTTTACACAAAGTGGAAATTGGCCTTGAATAGGCTTGTCCATATCATTGCTAATGAGAAAGCAATTGCAGTAGGTTCATGTCTATTATTCTATCTGATGGGAGAGAGTACTATATGGTATGGTTTTTATTAAGGAGAGACGAGGCCCAAGGTAGAGATGACAGAGAACCCTGAAAGAATGCCAAAAACATGAATGGCAAAATTGATGGCATTTGGCTACTGGTGGATATGGAAAGAGAAAAAAAAAAAGATTCTAAGATATGGGGCATCTCTACCAGGAGTCTTATGAATAGTGTCTATCAAGTAGTTGAAGGAAAAGTTGAGATCTCAGAAGGGAGTGCTCTAAGTGAAAAATGAAGGTTCAAGGGTCATCAGTATAGTAGAGTGACAAGTCCTGAACCTCCTCCATCAGGGAGAACATAGGGGAGCAATTTCTGGAAGCACCAAAGACCTTGGAGAGAGGAAGGAATCTGAGGAGCTAAGAGAACTGGAAAAGAATTAATTAGAAAATAAGGGCAGTGAATAGGAACTCAAAGGCAGAAAGGGTTTCCAGAATGCAGAAGGATTGTGTAATAATGCCATAGGCTACCAGGAGGTAGAGGGGCATAATGAAAGCATTGAAGAGCACTAGGTGTGATACTTTCTAAAGAAGGAGTTCATAGAAAAAGCTTGGCAGTTGGGGGTTGAGGTGAGGATAATAAAGATACACCAATTTTCAAGAAAGGGGTACATGGGTAAAATTTCTATCTGAAGAAAAGGAATGAGTGGGAAAAAGGACCCAGAGAAAGAGGACATTGGATAGAGATTCCTTATTAGGAAAAACAGTAAGAAGGGGCGGAAAGAAAAGTGAGAGTAAAATTTTGAATGTAGAGAAAGGGAAACTGGAGGAAATCATGGAATTCATACTGAATTGACTTGGTCTTCTTTGTAAAGTGTTCTTGTGATCCTGTGGTAGTTAGAAAAGACCTGAGATGGATGCTAAACATACCATAATGGGAAGTTGACTAGAAAAATAACAGGATTACATATTTCTGTAACACATGTGGTATGGGTAGCATATGTGGTGTAATAACATGCTAAATATATTTATAATTTGTAGCATATTACAAAATACATGAGATTAGGCATGGTGGCTCACTCCTGTAATCCAAGCGGCTCAAGAGGTTTAGGCTGGAGGATTGGAAGTTCAAAGTCAGCCTCAGCAACAGCAAGTCGATAAGCAATTCAGTGAGACCCTGTTTCTAAATAAAATACAAAATAGGGCTGGAGATGTGGCTCAGTGGTTCAGTGAGTGCCCCTGGGTTCAGTCACTGGTACCCCCCCAAAACTATACACATGTATGTGATAATACATATTACAGGTAATCCCTGAATAAAGTTATTTCCCTGCTTCAACAAAAAATGTCATGTGGGTGTTTTACTAAAAAAAAAAAAAAAATCCTCATCAGCAATTTAAATAAGAAGGATGTCAGAGATGAGTCAAAGAGTTTTTGCTAAGTGATCTGAGGAAGGAATGGAAGACAACTGAGGACCTC